CTACTCCCTTAAAAAAAGTGCATAATGCTAAAGTGGCCGTAGGGATACCTAAAGACTTGTATAGATCTGCCTAATCAATCATATCTCCTATATTGGGCCCGGTAAGCTTCGTGCCTGTTAATCCCAGCACTTTCGGGAGGGCGCGAGGCGGGCGGAGGTCGCGAGGTCCGAGAATCCAGACCCTAGCCTGGCCAACCACTGGCGATAACCCCGTCTCTACCTAAAAATAGAAAAAATTAGCTGGGCATGGTGCGGGCGCTTTTGAATCCAGCTACCTCGGGAGGGCTCAGAGACCGGAGAAGTCACTTGGAACCCGGGAGTTGAGGCGTAGGTTTATTGAACAGATATTGTGCCACTGCACTCCACGCCTGGGGCGACAGAGCGAGATTCCGCCTCAAAAAAAAAAAAAAATTTTATATCACTTTGTGAGAGGGTAAACATTAGATTGTCCAGATGAAAGTGCTACAGTTTTTATCATTGGTATAGTAATGAATTTTAATTTATCTGTCATGTGTCCCTTTTTGTGGTGCAGGAGGAGTCATTCTGCATAGCAGGGTTGGAGCTAAAATATCATCAGAAATTTTCTGTTCTAGATTAGTCCTCTTATATAGACCTGTGTGGGTTTATGTTAGAACAATTTTGTGTTCGAATGCTTTTATAACCTTCTTCATGGTACTACGTTGAGAGGCATGTCGTATCTCTTACTGATGATTAGACTGAGACAGGTGGGAAAAGTAAAGGTTATAGACAGAGTAAAGTGTGTGGTTTAAGCTGTGATAAAGCACACTAGGGAGGTTCTAGATACCCAGTTTGAATTGCTTATTCAAAACAATTTAGGTCACGGTCTGCAAGTTGTTTTCAGCAGGTTTGCATAACTAATATTTTTGCTTTCTCTTATAGGATACTCTCTGGGACAAGTCACATTCTGAGTTTCTGTGTTTATTCTTTCCATTTAGGACCAGAAGTAAATTCTTGAATTTTATTTATTCAGACCTTTGCTCAGTAATTAGATTGCTTGAGAGTTTGTTGTTTGGCCAGTTAGGCTGTTGAAATTTCTTGGGAATGTGGTTCGGGCATTTTTGATCCTTTGATTATATCATTGTATCGGGAACTTTTTTTGAGAGATTGTTTTGCTCTGTCACCCAAGCTGGAATGCAGTGGCGACAATCTTGGCTCACCACAACCTCCACCTCCTGGGTTAAATGATTTCCTGCCCTAGCCTCCCAAGTAGTTGGAACTCCAGTCCTGGCCAGGAACTTTTTTAAAAAAAAAAAAAAAAAAGCACGATCATAAAATTAAGTCTCTGATTTTTTTTTTTTTTTTTTTTTTTTGAGACGGAGTCTCCCAGCTGGAGTGCAGTAACTGGATCTTGGCTCACTGCAAGCTCCGCCTCCCAAGTTCACGCCATTCTCCTGCCTCAGGCTCCCGAGTAGCTGGGACTACAGGCGCCCGCACCTCGCCTGACTAGTTTTTTTGTATTTTTTAGTAGAGAGGGGTTTCACCATGTTAGCCAGGATGGTCTCGATCTCCTGACCTCGTGATCCACCCGTCTCGGCGCTCCCAAAGTGCTGGGATTACAGGCCTGAGCCACCAGGCCCGGTCTCTCATTTTTTTAACTGCTTTACATGTTCATCTCCCTACCCTTTTTTTTTTTCCTTTTTTTTTTTTTTTTTTTGTGTTGTTGTTTGAGATGGAGTCTTACTCAGTCACCCAGGCTGGAGTGCAGTGGCGCCATTTCGGCTCGCTGCAACCTCTGCCTTCCAGGTTCAAGTGATTGTTGTTTCTCAGCCTCCCAAATAGCTGGGATTACGGGCATTTGCCACCATACCTGGCTAATTTTTGTGTTTTTAGTAGAGACAGGGTTTCGTCGTGTTGGCCGGGGTGAGTCTGGAACTCCTGACCTCAAGTGATCTACCCGCCTCAGCCTCCCGAAGTTCTGGGATTACAGGCATGGGCCACCTCACCTGGCCTCCCCTCACCCTTTCTAAAGCAGTTTTACTCCTTCTAGGAAGTAATTGTTACTGTTGGCAGCTTGTGTTACATTGCTGCCCTTCACCATTGTAAGATTGAGATCTCTTACAAAATTGGATTTACATATATTTGGACTTTATCAACAGTGAAAAGAAATTATAGATGTTTGTTGTTTTAAAATAACTGTCACCTAAGTAACTAATGTCATGGTAGAAAAAAGAAAATGTACCTAAGCAAAAATGGAATAAAAGTCACCTTGTAGTGTCACCACCGAAAGATAAAGGAACCTTAGTATTTTATTAAATATCATTCTGATTTGGTGTATTTTATGTTTTTTACAAAATAGGCTTGTATGTTTTTAACTTTTCTCAATAAAACTTACCACAGTTTAAAACTGAATATAATTTCATTCTTTCTTTCAATCTAGGATTTTACGGAAGACCTTGGGTTATGGAACAGAGAAAAGAACTCTTTAGAAGGTAAATCTTTATTATATGAAGGAGAGAGAACCTTAAACTCCTAACATTTTCTTTTGTTTGAAGAAATACTAACAGTGAATAGCCCAGGTGCATTTTGATAGTTTCTCAATTACAGAAGTTATTTTACCTTGGTCCCTTATTTCTTCACCTAGGCCTTTGGTTTTCAAACTTTTCCTGGGGAGCTGAATAGGTTTTGGGCTTCACCTTACCAAGAGCTGTTGTGTTTTTTAAGACTGTTTATATGTTGGCATACATTGTAATACTTACTTTTTTTTCCTTTTTTTTTTTTGAGATGGAGTCTCACTCTTTCGCCCAGGCTGGAGTGCAGTGGCACTATCTCGGTTCACTGCAAGCTCCGCTCCTGGGTTCACACCATTCTCCTGCCTCAGCCTCCCGAGTAACTGGGACTACAGGTGCCCGCCACCACGTCCGGCTACTTTTTTGTATTTTTGGTAGAGACGGGGTTTCACCGTGTTAGCCCAGGATGGTCTCGATCTCCTGAGCTCGTAATCCACCTGCCTCGGCCTCCCAAAGTGCTGGGATTACAGGTGTGAGCCACTGCACCTGGCCTGTAATACTTCATTTTTAAAATTCCACTGATTACAAAAAGGTTAAAAGCTACTGTCATAGAATATTAGCTTTGTATGAGATGGATATGCTCCAAGAAGAGGGAAATTGAGATTGACAGCCTATAAATGTTGCCTGTTTATACATATGTAATTTTCTTTCTCCTTAAGGCTCCAGAAATGGGAATTAAATACATACTTGTATGCCCCAAAAGATGACTACAAACATAGGATGTTTTGGCGAGAGATGTATTCAGTGGAGGAAGCTGGTAATCTTTTTCTTTTTAATCCATAAATTCAGAATCTGTGAAGAAAACAGTTACATTTTAAATGTAGTTGTACAAGAATTTTATGACATTTTATTTTTATTTTGTAGGTAGTTTCCTTTTCTTCTATCTGGTAACTATTCAGTTAGCTGAGATTGAAAGAGTGCTCTGCGCTAGCAAGGTCATGACCATACGTGTGATGTCATGGGCGTGCTAGGCTGACTCCACCTATTCTGTGGTCATAGATTGTGCTGCTTACTTCTGCCAGTGGAATAAACAGTGGGCCACTGGGCAAAGAAGTGCTGGAGCTGAGCTAGGCCCAGGGCAAGGCAAGTGAGGCATGTACCTTGGGTGCAAATTTTAAGGGACCCCCAAAAAAGTAATCAAGATAAATAATAATTTATGCAATATTTTTTAAAAACAAAATTAATGCAGAAATTCATGATGGAAACAATGCTAAAATTTTAGGTAAAGATAGGATCAGCACTAGTGATTGTTCCTTTTGCTTCAGGCTCTAGTATGGCTTGGCCTTGTCAACAATTACTGATCCTTACCCTAGTCCAGGAAAGTGGGAAGCCATTAATAGGCTGTCTTTGGGTTTTTTTGTTTTTATTTGTTTTTGTTTTTTGAGACAGAATCTTTCTCTGTCCCCCAGGCTGGCGTGCAGTGGTGTGGTCTCGGCTAATTGCAACCTCTGCCTCCCGAGTTCAAGAGATTCTGCTGTCTCAGCTTCCCCAGTAGCTGGGATTACAGGCGCCTGCCGCCATGCCCAGCCAGTTTTTGTATTTTTAGTAGAAATGGGGGTTCATCATGTTGGCCAGGGCGGTCTTGAACTCCTGACCTCAAGCAGTCGGCCTGCCTCAGCCTCCCAAAGTGCTGGGATTACAGGCTTGAGCCCCCTTGCCCAGGTGGCCTGCTATGAGTATACTTATGTTGAGTTGGTTACATAAAATTGCTGAAAAGTTAGTAGTATATCATTGAACCACCTGAGTAAATTAGAGAGGTGCTTTTCTTTGGGAACTTGTGAATGGTGAAACATTTTTGTACTTCAAATTAAATAGTATACACGTATAGCTAACAAGATATTCGGTTACAGAGCCCAGCCAAGGCACGGAAGGCTGAAAGTTTTCTTGAATTACGAAGAAGCAATTATAACTTATCCCATCTCCATCTAGTGTTGTGGTTTACTGCTCTATTTAAGTGTGTCTTCAACTTAATTACTTTCTGGTGGTGCTGGTGATGAAACTTAATGTGATCAATAATTAAAATAGAGTAAAAATAACTGTCTTGAGATACTGCTGAAAATTATTCAAAAATATGTCCTATGGTATATAGTAGTAGTATTTAAGTTGATTTAGAGAAATTGTCAGTTGATAATTTTAAAAGCTTAAAATCTATAATTAACATTTTTCCCATAGATAGAAACAGATCAAGATTGTGAAGGCCATGACTTACCTCTGGTTCTTTTTCTTTTTCTTTTTTTTTGGAAACAGCCTTTGTCAGTTTGTTACCCAGGCTGGAGTTCAGTGCCTTATTGCAATTTTGATCTTCTGGGCTCAAGCAATCCTCCCACCTCAGCCCCCCAAGTAGCTGGGACTCCAGGTGCAGATCACCACCATGCTCAGCTAATTTTTGTATATTTTGTAGAGAGAGGGGTTTGCCATGTTGCCTGTGCTGGTCTCAAACTTCTGAACTCAAGCAATCAACTTGCCGTGGCCTCTCAAAGTGCTGGGATTACAGGCATGATTCTGTTGTTTTTTTTGTTTGTTTGTTTTGGTTTGTTTTGTTTTTTTGAGATGAAGTCTTGTTCTGTCGTCCAGGCTGGAGTGCAGTGGTGCGATCTTGGTTCACTGCAACCTCTGCCTCCAGGGTTCAAGCAATTCTCCTGCCTCAGCCTCCCTAGCAGCTGGGATTACAAGTATGCGCCACCACGCCTGGCTATTTTTTGTATTTTTAGTAGAGATGGGGTTTCACAATGTTGGCCAGACTGGTCTCGAACTCCTCACCTCAGGTAATCCTCCTGCCTGACCTCCCAAAGTCCTGGGGTTACAGGCATGAGCCATTGGGCCTGGTCTACCCTGATTCTTAAGAAAGCATTTTCTTTTTTCATATTATAAACTAGTTATGTGTAGGTTTATTTAGTTAGGAATTCCAGTTGTTCAGAGACGGCAAAACAAACAAACAAAAAAAGCAAGATCCAGTACCATGGCTCATGCCTGCAATCCTAACACTATGAGAGGCTGAGGCAGGTGGATCACTTGAGGCCAGGAGTTCGAGACCAGCCTGGGTGATATGGCAAAACCCCATCTCTACTAAAAATACAAAAATTAGCTGGTTATGCCTGTAATCCCAGCTACTCAGGAGGCAGAGGTTGCAGTGAGTCAGGATCGTACCACTGTACTCCAGCCTTGGGCAACAGAGCAAGACTCTCAAAATAAAAAAGCAGCAGCTGCATTTTATGCCTTTCAAATGCTTCAGGAAATAGAAATGGCTTAAGTTCAGTAAGAGAATTGACAGTTAATTCAGTATTCTTGAGAAATGGCAATGAAAGGGAGGAGAATGTTTATTGATTTTAGCCTGTTTCCCCGAAAGGATAAGAAACTATTTGGAAGTGAAAAAGAAGGGCCTCTTATTTTCTGTTGGTTCAGATTTCAAAGGTGTGAAAACTATTCTTTTTTCCTTACTGTGTCATTAAATCACTTCAGGCTTGTACCATTTTGTATGGCCTGTTGTTAAGTTGGACATGACAACTTTTAAAATGTAAGGATCTTTTCCTTTTTTTTGTAAGTTAGAAATAACCTCTTCAGTTAAACCTTCAGTGAAGGTTCTTTTAGTTTTCTGTTCTGCTTTCTAAAAGCATGGACTCTGTTCTTTAGAGCAACTTATGACTCTCATCTCTGCTGCACGAGAATATGAGATAGAGTTCATCTATGCGATCTCACCTGGATTGGATATCACTTTTTCTAACCCCAAGGAAGTATCCACATTGAAACGTAAATTGGACCAGGTAACTCCTTACTTTTTTTTCATTTTTCGTGACTCTGTACTTGAAACTAAAAGTTTACTCAGTTGCTTTTATGATGTAAAAAGGAAATCAAATTCATATTTCTTTCTTTTTTTGTTTGTTTTGTTTTTTGAGACAGAGTCTCGCTCTGTTGCGCAGGCTGGAGTGCAGTGGCACGATCTTGGCTCACTGCAACCTCCTCTGCCTCCCGGGTTCAAGTGATTCTTCTGCCTCAGCTTCCCAAGTAGCTAGGACTATAGGTGTGTGCCATCATGCCCGGTTAATTTTTGTATTTTTTGTAGAGACGAGGCCTTCACCATGGCGGCCAGGCTGGTCTTGAACTCCTGACCTCATGATCTTCCCAAAGTGCTGGGATTACAGGTGTGAGTCACCACACCTGGCCTTGTATTTCTTTGTTTCTATAAGAATTTTTTTTACTTTGAATGCTTTTTTTTGGAGATAGAGGCTTACCCTGTTGCCTGGAGTGCAGTAGCCCAATTTCGGCTCACTGCAACCTCCACCTCCTGAGTTCAAGCGATTCTCGTGCCTCAGCCTCCTTAGTAGCTATTACAGGCACACCACCATGCCTGGCTAATTTTTATATTTTTAGTAGAGACAGGGTTTTGCCACGTTGGCCAGGCTGGTCTCAAACTCCTGACTTTAGGTGATCCACCCACCTCAGCCTCCCAAAGTGCCGGGATTACAGTCACACTCCGCCACACCCAGCCTTGAATCCTTCTGATAGAGGAATATTTTCCAAATTAAGTAAAAAGAGCTTTACTAGAAGTACTGGTTCTTCTCAGATTTCAGTTTGCATAAGAACTGCCTTAAAAGAATGATTAGAAGTGAAGCTTAAAAGAATGCTGACTACTGGACTTTATTTCCCAAATTGATAAGGTGGGGACCAGGAATCTAGGTGATTGGTGGTCAAGAACCACATTTTGAGAAATTATATGTACCCTAGGCTGCTTGGCTTGAATTTACAACTGAGATTATAGAAACAAGGTTTCGCCTATTAGACATTAGTTTCTTCAATTAATGGACAAAGAGATGTCTGGAAATGGCTAATTTCCCAAGGTGAGAAGAAAAACAGACTAGGTGAACCTAATTGAGTGTAAAGTTTGCTTAATGTAAAAGCTGCACACTTCCTTTGGTCAAATGTAGGGGGCTTCCATTTTCCTTTTTTTTGAAACCGAGTCTTGCTCTGTCACCTAGGCTGGAGTGGAGTGGCGTGATCTCACCTCATTGCAATCTCTGCCTCCTGGGTTCAAGCAATTCTCTGGCCTCAGCCTCCTGAGTAACTGGAATTACAGGCGTGTGCTACCACACCTGGCTAATGTTTTCGTATATTTAGTAGAGACAGGGTTTCACCATGTTGGCCAGGCTGGTCTCGAACTCCTGGCCTCATGATTTGCCAGCCTCAGCCTCCTGAAGTGCTGGGATTACAAGCGTGAGCCACCGCTCCTGACCCCATTTTCCTGTTTTTTAAGTTTGCTGGTTTTTCTATATACATGTCTCGTTTCTTTAGGCAAAGATTTATATGGGTGGCATTAAAATGTCTGGTAAAAAATTTAAGGCAGTTGAAATTTTCATTAATGAAGCTATTTTCCTATTTCATAAAATTCTGCGGTTCTTTCTGATTCATACCTGGTTAGGTTTATCTGCAAAGGGATCAGTGTACCTTTTGGGACTAGGACACAGCCTGGCTTTTTCATGTCTTAAGGTTATTCATATTTCTGTATTTTTCTGACTTTGTCGGGTCTTCTACAATCAGCAGCCCATGAGTTAGCCAAGAGGCTAGGCCACTTTGTAGAAACGTTGTTGGATCATATTGTCATATAAGTTGAGTATCCCTAATTCAGAAATCTGAAATGCTCCAAAATATGAAACTTTTTGAGCTCCATAAAATTCAAAGGAAATGATAATTGGAGCATTTCAGATTTTGGATTTTCAGGTTAGGGATGCTGAATATAATACAGATATTCCAAAATCCATAAAAAAAACCCCAAAATCCAAAACATTTTTGGTCCCAAGCATTTCAGATAAGGAATACTTAACCTGTAGTGCATTCAAACCCAAATAAGAAATGGGTCCCAAAACTCTGTTTGACTTAGAATTTTTTTAATTAAAAATGTAAAAACAACCTGTCATTGAATATTCTAGTAAGGAAAATATTGGCTTTTAAGTATAACTATTAACTCTATACTTTAATGTTTGGAATTGTTAATTTTTTTACTCTTGATTCTTTTTTTCTCCTCCTAGGTTTCTCAGTTTGGGTGCAGGTCATTTGCTTTGCTTTTTGATGATATAGACCATAATATGTGTGCAGCAGACAAAGAGGTATTCAGTTCTTTTGCTCATGCCCAGGTCTCCATCACAAATGAAATCTATCAGTACCTAGGAGAGCCAGAAACTTTCCTCTTCTGTCCCACAGGTATTGTATATAATGGCTTTATATTTAGTCTTCTTAGAATAAGTAACTTATAAAGGACCATGGGCCCCATTCTCTCTCCACTTCCCTCCTCCCTTGGTGTATAAAAGTAGGAATCTTTTTTTAGAAGACATTTTTCAAGATCCTAAATTGGAAAAATTTTAGGAACTAATAAATGACAGCTGACTAGACAAAAGATTTTTACGTATTTTTTAGTACTGGAAGTATATGAACTTTGTCAATATTAAAAGAGGGATAGTATTAAAATGAAAACTGGAGAAAAACCAAGTTACTTTGCCTTTTACCTTAGTCACTTCTCATTTCCTCCTACTTGTTCCCTTTTTCTGCCCATGCATATCTGTCCCTTTTTGCACTCCTCCCACTTCCATCTGGGCTCTTATTTCAAGTAGTCAGCATAGAAAGCATAACAGTTTTTCCTCTTTTCCTTTCTTTTTGCCCCTCTGGTTTCTTTCATTGAAAATATTTTAGTCTCTTAGTTGCTTCTCAAAATTCAACTTACAAGAAGTTTTTCCCCAGACTTCCCTGTTCAGGAAGAATTTTAGACTAAATTACTTAACTTTCTTTGTGTGTATTATGAGCCAGGAACCTTATTTTAGTTGAATACTACATTAGTACCCAAAAGTTTTAAGATTATACTGGGAATTAATTAGCTGCGAGTTACAGTTTAAGTTGCAGTTGAGTACTAATAGCCGTTGGTATATGCCTTTTTAAAAAATGTTTTTTAATTTTACTTTTAAATTTGTGTTATTTATTTAGATACCGGGTTATAAAACTGGCTAATTTTTTTATTTTTGGTAGAGACACCATATTGCCCAGGTTAGTCGCGAACTCCTGGGCTCAAATGATCCACCCGCTTCAGCCTCCCAAAATGCTGGGGTTGCAGGTGTGAGCCACTGTGCCCAGCTGCCATTGGCATATTCTTGTATTAGTTCTATTATGATATTATCAATTCATTCTGTTTGCATTTAATTGTAACTGAGAAAAGTAGGCAATTGAGAATTCTGTAGAAAATGCTACAGTTCTTGTTTCTTTAGTGAACTTGTATTTCTAGTAACTGTAGTATCATAAGAATTGATCTGTACTACTGTTGGAGGAAAAATATCAGATTTTATGAATTTCTTAAATGAACTGCCCACTTGAATTTAATTCCTTGTAGGAGGCCTTTTATCATTTGGATGAAAAGAATTTAGAATTGGCAGACATTTTTTTCCACATTCAAAAACCCATGATCCTTTTGGGAGGCCGAGGCGGGCAGATTGCCTGAGCTCAGGAGTTTGCAACCAGCCTGGGCAACATGGTGAAACCCCGTCTTTACTAAAATAAAAAAAAAACTAGCCAGGCGTGGCGGCGTGCACCTGTAGTCCCAGCTACTCGGGAGGCTGAGGCAGGAGAATAGCTTGAGCCCAGGAGGTGGAGGTTGCAGTGAGCCGAGATTTCATCACTGCACTTTAGCCTGGGCATCAGAGCGAGACTCCATCTCAAAGAAAACAAACAAACAAAAAACCCATGAATATTTTGTTCCTGACTTTTTTACTTTTCTCCCTACATTTAGAATATTGTGGCACTTTCTGTTACCCAAATGTGTCTCAGTCGCCGTATTTAAGGACTGTGGGTGAAAAGCTTCTACCTGGAATTGAAGTGCTTTGGACAGGTAAGTCTTTTAAGATTCATACAGTCAAACTTGAATTAACTAGGACTTAGAGAAATTGCTTGTTCTTGTTAATTGAATACCTTTTTTTTTGTTGTTTGTTTTTTTGTTTGAGATGGGAGTTTTGCTCTTGTTGCCCAGGCTGCAGTGCAGTGGCACAATCTCAGCTCACCGCAACCTCTGCCTCCCGGGTTCAAGCGATTCTTTTGCCTCAGCCTCCTGAGTAACTGGGATTACAGGCATGTGCCACGACGCCCAGCTAATTTTTGTATTTCTAGTAGAGACGGGGTTTCTCCATGTTAGCCAGACTGGTCTCAAACTCCTGACCTCAGGTGATCTGCCCACCTCGGCCTCCCAAAGTACTGGGATTACAGGTGTGACCCATTGCACCTGGCCCAGAGAACTTGTTAAAATACACTTTCTTTTACAAAGTTTACTTATTCTCTTAATATAAAAAAACATTTATCATGGTTGGGGAGCCTGAGGTGGAAGCTCCCAGGAGTTAAAGACCAGCTTAGACAACATAGGGAGACTGTGCAAAAAATAAAAAAACTTAGCCAGGTGGGGTGGTACACGCCTGTAGTCCCAGCTACTTAGGAGGCTAAGGTGGAAGGATCACTTGAGCCCGGGAGGTAGAGTTTGCAGTGAGCTGTGAACATGCCTGAGCAACAGAGTGAGACCCTGTCTCTAAAAAAAAAATTCAGTTAATAAATAATAAAGATTTATAGGGAACTGGGCTGAAGGGTATTATTGATCCCAGCCCTAAGCAGCGTTTAGGAAACTCTTCTCTTTTATAAAATGAAAAAATAAAGCCCAGTAAAAGACGTGTTGCTTTGTTTTCAAAAGAAAAATTGTGGCTGGATGCAGTGGTTCATGCCTGTAATCCCAGTGCTGTGGGAGGCTTGAATTGAGGTAGGAGGATCGCTTGAGGCCAGGAGTTTAAGATTAGCCTGGGCAACATAGGAAGTCCTTATCTGTACAAAAAATGTTTTAATTACTGTGACATGGTGGGGCACACCTGTAGTCCCAGCTACTTGGGAGGCTCAGGTGAGAGGATTGCTTGAGCTCAGGAGTTCAAGGCTACATTGAGCTATGATTACTCCATTGCCCTTCAGTCTGGGTAACAGAGGAGACCCTGTCTCAGAAAAAGAAAAGTTGTTATAAAATGTACATGGAAGGGTCTGAGCGCGGTGGCTCATGCCTGTAATTCCAGCACTTTGGGAGGCTGAGGCCGGCAGATCACAAGGTCAGGAGATCAGACCATCCTGGCTAACATGGTGAAACCCTGACTCTACTAAAAAATGCAAAAAATTTGCTGGGCGTGGTGGCGGGCGCCTGTAGTCCCAGCTACTCAGGAGGATGAGGCAGGAGAATGGCATGAACCTAGGAGGTGGAGCTTGAGGTGAGCCAAGATCGCACCATTGCACTCTAGCCTGGGCAACAGAGTGAGACTCTGTCTCAAAAAAAAAAAAACCATGTAAGGAAAACACAATAAAAAGTTATATGTCCATTATATTTTAAAGAACCATGATTCTTTTTTAAAAAAATATATTTTTAAACTTAAAATAAAAAAATAGGGTCTCGCTGTGTTGCCCAGGCTGGTCCGAACTCCTGGGCTCAAATGATCCGCCCACCTTGGCCTCCCAAAGTGCTGGGATTACAGGTATGAGCCAATGCGTCTGGCCAAGAACCACAATTCTTTTAACAAATGGTTGTCGTTATTTCTAGGTCCCAAAGTTGTTTCTAAAGAAATTCCGGTAGAGTCCATTGAAGAAGTGTCTAAGATTATTAAGAGAGCGCCAGTAATCTGGGATAACATTCATGCTAATGATTATGATCAGAAGAGACTGTTTCTGGGCCCGTACAAAGGAAGATCCACAGAACTCATCCCACGGTTAAAAGGAGTCCTGACTAATCCAAATTGTGAATTTGAAGCCAACTATGTTGCTATCCACACCCTTGCCACCTGGTACAAATCAAACATGAACGGAGTGAGAAAAGATGTAGTGATGAGTAAGTAGCCTGTACTTGATCCTTCACCTTGGGAGGAGAGCTAGGGTTAACTAGAGCCAGTGGAAAGTATACTTTCCTTTGTCATCACAACTGAAGCAGTTTTATTTATTTTTTTAAAAAATTATTTTGTTTCACTAAGAAGGAAACAAAACTAAGTGGTTTTATTACGGTATGTTGTTTCATTCTGTTGATGAAGAGATGTATATGATAAGAAGAAAGGTTGAGTGTCTTTGGACAAGTCACTTAATCTCTTGGCCTCAGTTGTTTTTTTTTTTTTTTAGTATGATTCAGAAGCGGCGTGGTGGCTTGCCAATAAGCCCAGGAACTGCGCTCCAGCCTGGACAACAGTTGAAGACCCTATCAAATAAATAAAAATAAAATAGGATTCAGTCTTTGAAGTCTGAGTACTAGAGGAGACAGTCTTTAAGTGTTTCCATTATCTCTAGAATCATTCCGATAAAATGTATTTTCAGGCAATTTTATTGAAAAGCATATTTTAGATGACTGGATACTCGGAATCTGAGTCACTTAGATCATTTAGATTCAGCTTACATTTATCATTTATGGAACATACTCTTTTTTTATGAGACAGAGTTTTGCTCCATCGCCCAGGCTAGAGTGGAGTGCAGTGGCACAATCTCAGCTCACTGCAAACTCTGCTTCCCAGGTTCAAGCGATTCTCCAGCCTCAGCCTCCCAAGTAGCTGGGATTACAGGCATATGCCCGGCTTATTTTTGCTTTTTTTTTTTTTTTTTAAGGTAGAGACGGTTTCATCATATTGGCCAGACTGGTCTCGAACTCCTGATCTCAGGTGATCCGTCTGCCTAGGCCTCCCAGAGTGCTGGGATTACAGGCATGAGCCACCCTGCCTGGCCGAATGGAATATAGTCTTGTTTTAGACATTGGCTTACTAATTTTTAATTAATGAAAAATCTCTAATAGAGTTCTAAGTAAGGTGTTTGATAATTGTTTATTTACATTTAAATAATCTATCATGTGGCAGATGTGTGATCATGGGCACTGAGGTGGCAAAGAATAAAGTAGTTCCTACTTTTTTTTTCTTTTTGAGATGGAGTCTTGCTCTTGTTGCCAGGCTAGTGCAGTGGTACCATCTTGGCTCACTCCAACCTCTGCCTCCCAGGTTCAAGCGATTCTCCTGCCTCAGCCTACCGAGTAGCTGGGATTACAGGCATGCGCCACCATGCCTGGCTGATCTTGTATTTTTAGTAGAGACAGGGTTTCTCCATGTTGGTCTGGCTGGTCTTGAACTGCCGACCTTGGGTGATCCACCCGCCTCAGCCTCCCAAAGGGCTGGGATTACAGGCGTGAGCCACTGCGCCTGGCCATTCCTACTTTTGAGAAACAGTCTAGTGTTGGGTAAGGCTTATAGACAATAGTATGATAGTGTGATAAGTGTTGTAATAGTTTAATTTATAAAATGCCGTGTGAACACGGGGGAGAGTGATTATTTTTGCTAAGAGATTTCACAGACTTTTAAGCTGGATCAGAGTATGAGGAGAGTTTGCTGGGTATTAAAGGTTTGTGGGCTGGAGGTGAAAAACACTGAACACTGAAAATTTTTTTTTTTCTTTGAGACAGAGTCTTGCTCTGTTGCCCGGGCTGAAGTGCTGTGGTGCAATCTTGGCTTATTGCAACCTCCGCCTCCCTGGTTCAAGTGATTTTCCTGCTTCAGCCTCCTGAGTAGCTGGGATTACTGGTGCACGCCACCTCACCCGGCTGATTTTTATAGTTTTCATGGAGATGGGATTTCACCATGTTGGTCAGGCTGGTCTCGAACTCCTGACCTGGTGATCCTGCTTGCCTCTGCCTCCCAGAGTTCTGGGATTACAGGCGTGAGCCACTGCGTCCAGCCTGTACACTGAACTTTTGAAATTCCCTGAATTTTGGCCCATTTTGGGCTACTGAAGTGTCATGATAGTATGTAGGAATATTAATAGTTGTGGTCTATTTCTCAGTTCCATACTCCTGCTTTGAATTTTTTATTGAATTAATGTCTCCCTTTTGGCTCAGTCATTGTCATCCTCCTCTCCCCATTAGAAAAAAAAATAGGAATATTGGTTCAGTCATTGTCATCCTCCTCTCCTCAATGAAAAACAAAAATTGGGAATGTAATTTCAGTGCTGTTAGTGTACATGGCACTTAACTCCTACATCTTTTAAGGCAGAGCGTGGAACATATTAAGGGTGGCAGACACTATCCAAACCTGGGACATATGCAGGAAATGTTAAGGAAAGCTAAGAATTGAGTTTTTAAATACAAAACCAAAGAATTCAGACTTAATTTTCTCTACCACTATCCTAGCTCAGAGCTTTGTTGCCTTATGTGTGCTAATTTGTGGGTCTCTGTCGATTATCTCTTCTTTTTTTATATTTGAGACGGAATCTTGCTCTTGTTGTCCAGACTGGAATGCAATGGCCAGATCTCAGCTCACTGCAATCTCTGACCCCTCGGTTCAAGCAGTTCTCTTGCTTCAGCCTCCCGAGTAGCTGGGATTACAGGTGCCTGCCACCATGTCTGGCTAATTTTTTGTATTTTTAGTAGAGATGGGCTTTTACCACGTTGGCCAGGCTAGTCTTGAACTGCAGGTCTCAGGTGATTCGCCCGCCTTAGCCTCCCAAAGTTCTGGGATTACAGGCATGAGCCACCACGCCCGGCCTCTTCATTTTCCCTCAATGCTTTTATTATTAATAATGATATGGTCAGGCGTAGTGGTTCACGCTTGTAATCCGAGCACTTTGGGAGGCCTAGGCAGGCGGATCACGAGGTCAAGAGTTCGAGACCAGCCTGGCCAACATGGTGAAACCCCATCTCTACTAATAATACAAAAATTAGCCGGGCATGGTGGCATGCGCCTGTAGTCCCAGCTACTCGGGAGGCTGAGGCAGGAGAATTGCTTGAACCTGTGAGGCGGAGGTTGTAGTGAGCCAAGATCCTGCCACTGCACTCCACCCTGGGTGACAGGGTGAGACTCCCATCTCAAAAAAAAAAAAACAAGTTACAGAGTCCTGAAGCTATGGCAATGTTTCTTCATACAAAAAGCATGTACTTTTGACCTGACTTCCTAACAATTAGTACTTAGTGGACATTTCAGATTGACTTTCCACTGATACTAAAATTTATATTCTTATTCAATTGAGATTTTTACATTTAGCATTGCATTAGGTTACTTACTAGATGAAATCGTTCATGTGAAGGGTCTTGCTTTTATTGCATTTTTATGTTTAAGGTTTGTTCTGATTCTAGTCGTTTCTGGTTATACTGTGACCAAGTTAAGTTGGCATTTATTCTTCTCACGTGTCAGAAAGGATTTGTAATCAAAATATTTTGTGCTCTTTTTTTTTTGCAGCTGACATGTGAAGATAGTACTGGTATCCATCCAAATAAAGTAGAGAAATAAGGGCCAGGTGATGAAGTATTGAAACTGATGTACTCTATAGTCCACAGATGGCTCTAAAAGCTAGCTTTACAGAATGGTTGCAAGAATTGGTGTGCCTCATGCAGTAAGCAGTGAGTTTGGGCCATCTTTGTTAAGGGGTTAGATCAAATAGTTGAGTCACAGAAGTAAAGCAACACTGCTTCGCCCGGTCTGCGGTGGCTCACACCCTGTAATCTCAGCACTTTGAGGAGCCGGGCGCAGGTGGGATCACGTGGAGGGTCAGGAGTTCGAGACGCAGCCTGGCCGAACAGAATGAAACTTGTCCGCTACTAGAAATACAAAGATTAGCCAGGCATGGTGGCATGTGCCTGAGTCCCACTACGTGGGAGCTGAGGCAGGACAGTCGCTGAACTTGGGAGTGCGGTGGGTTGCAGTGAGCCAAGATTGCACCATTGCAACTCCAGCCTGGGTGACAGAGCGAGACTTCGTCTCAAAAAACAAAACAAAACAAAAAAAACAAAAAAAAAACACTGTCATGTGCCTTACCTTAGGCCCACTAAGCAAAGTGAAATTAAATGAAATTGGGGGATCTAGAGAATAAGGATTTTTAAATCTTACTTTTGGTCTTAAATAGCTTTTATTTTGATGGAATGCTATTTTCTCTTAAAAATAAATTTTTTGAAGTAATTTAAGGGTTTTTAGATACAAATTTTCAAAAGAGAATGTAATAGTAGATGTTGGCATGTTTATTACCTCCCAACCCCCGTCCATTCCTGCATCCCTAGTGGTGTAGATAAATCTCATTTTTCTTAGAGATCAAATTAATTTGAATCTAACATTGAGGTTCCACTTAACAAATATGATAAAGCATCTTTCTGAATCTAATGTGTTCTGTCTCTAATTCTAATTATCTGTGTGACCATTTTATTTATTTATACATTTGTTTTTGTAGGTAGGCAAGTTGCACACAGTGGAGCTAAAGCAAGTGTAGTTGATGGGACTCCTTTAGTTGCAGCACCTTCTTTAAATGCCACAACCGTAGTAACAACAGTTTATCAGGAGCCCATTATGAGCCAGGGAGCAGCCTTGAGTGGTGAGCCTACTACTCTGACCAAGGAAGAAGAAAAGAAACAGCCTGATGAAGAACCCATGGACATGGTGGTGGAAAAACAAGAAGAAACGGACCACAAGAATGACAGTCAAATACTGAGTGAAATTGTTGAAGCGAAAATGGCAGAGGAATTGAAACCAATGGACACTGATAAAGAGAGCATAGCTGAATCAAAATCCCCAGAGATGTCCATGCAAGAAGATTGTATTAGTGACATTGCCCCTATGCAGACTGATGAACAGACAAACAAGGAGCAGTTTGTGCCAGGTCCAAATGAAAAACCTTTATACACTGCGGAACCAGTGACCCTGGAGGATTTGCAGTTACTTGCTGATCTATTCTACCTTCCTTATGAGCATGGACCCAAAGGAGCACAGATGTTACGGGAATTTCAGTGGCTTCGAGCAAATAGTAGTGTTGTCAGTGTCAACTGCAAAGGAAAAGACTCTGAAAAAGTGAGTATGTTTAATTTGCCTGCTGCTGAAGCCTGGGTGGTTCCCCATACTGGTAATGTGGAGAAAGTTCTTAAATGAGTACACTGTAACTGACAGAAAATTGACCATGTTTTAGAATATGTTCTTTAGGCTGGGTATGATGGCTCATGCCTGTAATCCCAGAACTTTGGGAGGCCGAAGCGGGCAGGAGTTCAAGATCAGCCTGGCCAACAAGGTGAAACCCCATCTCTACTAAAAATACAAAAATTAGCTGGGCATGGTGGCGGGCACCTGTAATCCCAGCTACTCAGGAGGCTGAGGCAGGAGAATCGCTTGAACCTGGGAGGCGGAGTTTGCAGTGAGCTGAGATTGCGCCATTGTACTCCAGCCTGGGTGACAAGAGGGAAACTGTCTTAAAAAAAAAAAAAGTATGTTATTTACATTGGATGTGGACTTTGCTAAATCTGGTACCTTCAGTTTCATATTTTGCCCTTCTAGTTACCAATAAGAAAAAGTGTTATTTTAGGAATATTTGTCAGTTTGGGGAGACACAAAGCGATACTTTAATGGTTAGGATAAATTGCCAACACCTGACAACATACACAGCTTAATATGTAACTGTGTCTTAGATTATTTTGTTAAGCTTGCAATTTTTTGAGTCTTTTTATTGATCCTCAATAGATTGAAGAATGGCGGTCACGAGCAGCCAAGTTTGAAGAGATGTGTGGACTAGTGATGGGAATGTTCACTCGGCTGTCCAATTGTGCCAACAGGACAATCCTTTATGACATGTACTCCTATGTTTGGGATATCAAGAGTATAATGTCTATGGTGAAGTCTTTTGTACAGTGGTTAGGTAGGTGTACCAGGAATAATCTCTTCTCCTCAAATATATTGTCCCTTTAAAAAAAAATTATCCCACAGGGAGAAAAACATTTAGGGAATTGGCACGTTTCCAAGTCTTTTCAATTCTTTGCCTAGGTTTCTTTCAAAAGTAGGCATTATTGAAGACTTGAGATGCAAGTCTTAGTAAATACATCAAGCACATTAATTTTTCTCCCTTGGGCTAATTCAGCATAAGTATCTTAAAAAATATGTTAGAAAGTGTACTGACTTTAACTTGCTCTGACTGAATGCTTTCTGGATGGAACCCTGTATACCACTTTTATCTGATTTGGAGATGAGACACTATGAAATGTGACTCCATAAGCTTTCTGCTGCTTGCTGTGTCTTGATAACATTAATGCTATGTTTAACAGAACAATTGCTGAAATGACCTCTAAGGGGCCTGGCAAGAGGAAGCCATCCTCCCAGCCCTGTGCGCATGCGAGCTTTAGTGTAAGGCTATTCTGGTGCTATTCAGTATTTCACGTGACTTTTTCTTTATCCTTCTACCAAGTGTTGGTTTTACCAGGGGATAGAAATTGTAGTCCCCTAAAACATCTCTGCTGCATTAAATGGATGGACTTTTGTATGTCTCCTTTGAACACTTTTTTTTTTTTTTTTTTTTTTTAAATTGTGACAGAGTCTTGCTCGGTTGCCAATATAATGGAAATATTATACTTTCCTTGCTCCTAATTTCTTGTGATTAAGCAGATTAGTTTTGTTTTTTTTTTTTTTTTTTTTTAAATTGTCAAACTTGGTAAAAAGCACCAGCATGGCCAAGTTTCTCTAGGGACCTCATTTCATTTTCAGGTTTTCAATCCAGCTATAAGGAATATGTAATGGACTTATATACAGCACACAGCAGGCAGCAAGGCTGACTGACCTGTCATAGTTTTCATAGTAGTCACAAATACTGTGAATGGGGTTCATGGTCTTGGTTGTGAAATTGATATCTGAAACACCGTGAGCTTAGAATAAAAAGTAGTAGTGAGATTTTCCACTTTCTGCCTGTATACCTTTTGGGCTCTTAAATGTTTTAAAAAAAAAAAAAAAAAAAAAAGTTTCCCTGTGATACAGCTAATTAGCTACTAAAAGTAGAGTCTCTGATTGTTAATTTGAAAATATATAACTTTTTTGGGATTGCTGTATATAACAGGTGGAAGAGAGTATTCTGACCTCATGGTAAAAGGCTCTGTATAGCTTCGGGCACAGTGGCTCACCCCTGTAATCCCAGCGCTCTTGGAGGCTGAGGCGGGCGGATCACTTGAGGTCAGGAGTTCGAGACCAGCCTGGCCAACATGGTGAAACCCCGTCTCTACTAAAAAAAATGCAAAAATTAGCCACTCGTGGTGGTGCATGCCTGTAATCCCAGCTACTTGAGAGGCTGAAGCAGGAGAATCGCTTGAACTCAGGAGGCAGAGGTCGCAGTGAGCTGAGATCACACCACTGTACTCCAGCCTGGGTGACAGAGGGGGATGCCATCTCAAAAAAAAAAAAAAAGGAAATATTGGCTGCGCACAGCGGCTCAAACCTGTAGTCCCAGCACTTAGGGAGGCCTAGGTAGGGAGATCATGAGGTCAGGAGTTCGAGACCAGCGTGGCCAATATGGTGAAACCCCATCTCTACTAAAAATACAAAAATTAGTTGGGCATGATGGCACATGCCTGTAGTCCCAGCTACTTGGGAGGCTGAGGCAGAAGAATCACTTGAACCCAGGAGGTGGAGGTTGCAGTGAGCCGAGATCGTGTCACTGCACTCCAGCCTGGGTGACAGAGCGAGACTTCATCTCTGGGGAGGCAGAGGTGGGCGGGGAGGCTCCGTATAGCTCCTACACATGGGAGACATCTACCGTTAGGCTCAGGAGACCTCAATATTGGTTGTTGGATGACAACATGTGCCTTCCAGGCTTCTGCTCAGGTTCTTATAATTAATTCTTATAGGGATTTAAACTTAAGTTTCTAAGGCCCTTAGGAATTTTGAACCTGAAATTTGGATTATTGAGCTTGAAATACATGACAGAAAACATTTGATACTCAGTTTTTAATTTAAGAATTATTAGAAGTTAAATTCTTGATTATACACAGTATTGTTTGTTTCTTAGGGTTTTTATGTCTGCACTAAGCATTTATGGTGGTAGCTTTCCAAAATTATATAGATAGCTCTTACACAATCCCAAGCTCTTATAGCAAGCTTGTCCAACCTGTGGCTCAACACAGATTTGTAAACTTTCTTAAAACATTGTGAGTTTCTTAAATTTATTTATTTTTTAAGCTCATCAGCTGTAATTAGTGTATTTTATGTGTGGCCCAAGACAGTTCTTCCAGTGTGCCCCAGGGAAGCCAAAAGATTGGACATCCCCATCTTGTAACATCTTAAAAGTTTTAAATAATTATCTTCGTATCCACATAGCTTTGCAAAAGCTCACGACAGGGAGAGTATTTTCTTGGTTCTGTAGTAATTTCAGGGGTTTACTGATTAGAACCCTTCCTTTTCCTCCTCTCTCCAGTCCAGCTGGCATTCAGTCCTTTAAACAATGTGGCTATGCAGTACTTTTGATTACTAATGACTTCTATTATCTTCTTCCCCATTGTGTACAGATGGGAGAATCCTCAGCACAAGTGTCTACTACTATTGGATGGACAGCGGCAGATGTTCACAGCGCGTCATGATTAATTAGTTTAAATTGCAAGGTTCTATCTGTGAGGTAGCTGAGGTAGATTTAAGGGCGGTAGACATGAACTGAAGTCACGTTTGCGCAGCGACTGAGGCATTAACCATGTTTTCATTTACACAGCTCTTCGTACATGCAGCTTTTTATTGTAATAGTTGGAAGTGCTAGTTATGTTGTAGTCTCAAAGTAGGGGGTAGGGGAAATTGGCTGATCTTAAAGTTTGAGAGGTATAGTTTTTTTCCTGCAGTGTAAATTACACTGAGTTACGGAATGGGACAGGTTCTCTTATAGTCTAAATTTTGACCCTGTTTCATATTTATTTTACAAATACTACATTTTATGTTTTTTAAAAGTACCCCTACCCTTGAAAAATGACAAACCAGATACAATCTCTTAATGGGCTGAATTGTTAACAAAAAATTGGTTTGCTTTGGGACTGTCTGACTAGCACACTATATCTTGTACTGATGAGACTGTTAACTTGAACAGGAGGTAGAATGCTGTCTTCCAATGGAAAAGAACTATATTGCGCTGCTTTATCTTGTCAGAAGACTAGGCAAGTGATTTTGATTTGGCCTCCAAACATTTGCCTTTAATTATGTCTTACTGTTAGCTAGCTTTGTTGCCTATTAGTTAAGTGGTGACTTTAATAGTGACTTCTGTATTCCATGTGTATATTCGGTGTTTTGCAAAGATTATAATGGCTGGTCAGAGGAACCAGATACTGTCATACTTTTAAGAAAAGTGTATTTAGCTCTGGACAAAATAACATCAATTGGCTCTCCTTAGTTTTCAGAATCTGTCAGACTGGTATTGTTATTAGCCAAGTCTGATTTTGAATTTTGTCCAAAAAAATTTTTCTCATTGTGTTTCATTTTGTCAACTTAATTTCTTGTATTTTATTCTACTGACCTTAGTTTTCTGACAAGATTAATCCTCTTCCCCCGCCCTTTTCCCTTACCTGTACCCTTCCTCAAAATGTAAAATGTGACTTCAGACAGGTTTAATTCCTTCATGGGCTGTGATAATAAAGTGTCTAATCATCTGTCAGTCATTTTAGTTTATAGTTACTGCAATTTTATGACAGAGCAAGCAACTAGCTTGATTTGTATAATATCTAGGGAATATATGAAGTTAACCCAGACAAACTTGGGATTTACTTTCCTTCCCGTAATTAAAGAGTAGAACTGATAATACTGATTATTTATTAATTGGAAGAAGGAACATTAGTATTGAAATGCCATTACTATTTTTAAAAATAATAATTATTATCATAGCCTTGCCCTGAAACCCTGATTATTGTTAGAGAGCTATTTCCACGAAGTGTTTGTCAGTTTGTTGGACATTTGAGACCCCAGGAAATCCCCTTTCTCGTAACGTTCTCCGCTTGGATCTGATCTCAACAGGGTGTCGTAGTCATTCTTCAGCACAATTCTTAATTGGAGACCAAGAACCCTGGGCCTTTAGAGGTGGTCTAGCAGGAGAGTTCCAGGTATCAATATGAATTCACAACTGAATTGACATTTTCTTTGTTTTATGAGAAACCTTATGTTGCGCATCAGATGGCTGGAAGGATTGGTCTGCCGAAGGCTTTCTAGTCCCAAATTCAATTTAGTTACATAGCTGGATTTTTAAATCAAATTTTCCTCCTCTTTCACAGTAATTTCTGAAGGAGATGCTGCCAATCCCCCCCGCGCCTGCGAAGCGCAGCGGCTCTAGGTATACACTTCACATTGTTTCTTTGCAGGTCGCACAGCATTTTAATCTGCGCCCGCAATGCACAATGCGCGCATGCTTGTCTGCCAGTGGAAACTCCATGAGCAAAAAATAGTAATTATGCAAATAAATGGTGAAAGAGCTTTTGGATATTTATCCAATTATTTTGTAAATATAATGTGCTTGAAACAATTGTCCATTGCTGAAAATTTAACAAAGTTTTTTTGCTGCTGGAATTTGTTCATGGACTTTCTAGGTGCTCTACTTTTCTCCCCCCAACAGGTGCTCTGCTGCGCACAGCAAACTGAAGCGCATTGCTTTGGGGATAAAGCGTCTCCTGGACAGATAACCCTCTTCAGACCAAACCTCTCCTCCTGACATTCTGTTCTGCCATCTTATCTTAGAGAGATGGTCTATCTAAGATAGGTTTAAAAAAATAGATTTGTCGTAATTGGAATAGGTTTGTTTTTGTTTTTGTTTTTGTTTTTACTGTAAATTAAATCCCCATTAATATGCCACTAAGAGAGCTGTAACTCAGAGTGGGTAATTTCTATTCAGAAGCACTCCCCTCCCCCAGCAAAGAGGTATTTCTATTAGTAAAGCATAGTACACCCCTCTTCTTTAGGTCTGCCTGCAGTAGCCAGTTAATATAAGTTGGTAATCTGCAGTGCACACCCATTTAAAGAAATGGATACCTTCCCAACACTAATCCATCTCCTTTTTTTTCTTCCCACAGCGTTTGCTGCCAATTGATGGGGCAAATGATCTCTTTTTTCAGCCACCTCCACTGACTCCTACCTCCAAGGTTTATACTATAAGACCTTATTTTCCTAAAGATGAGGTAATTGTCTCTCTACCTACCAACTTGGTGTATGGGTATGGTGCACACTTAAAACTTGTCTTTGAACTCACTGGTTAAAAGAATCCTGTCTTAAAACTGCAAACTTTAGATGGAGAAAGTTCATTAAAACATTCAACGTATCTTGAGAAATTTAAGGAAAAATATAAGGAGTTTAGACTTCTAACATCTTGTGCCAAGTTCTTTAATTTCTCCCTTGAAAAAGTCAGATGAATTGTATTCAGAGTTGGAGTTACAAAATAGTTAATGTGTCTAAATGATGTGTTGTCCTTGACTGATTTTCTCTAATGTATTGGTGTTCTGTAATTTTCAATTGTGAAGTACCTACAGGCTGTTGACAATCAACTAAAGAAAAAAAGCAAGACTGTTTAAAGACAGTAACAGGGCCAGGCGCGGTGGCTCACGTCTGTAATCCCAGCAATTTGGGAGACCGAGGCAGTCAAATTACCTGAGGTCAGGAGTTCGAGACTGGCCTGGCCAACATGGTCTCTATTAAAAATAAAAAAAGTTAGTTGGGTGTGCCTGTAATCTCAGCTACTCTGGAGGCTGAGGCTGGAGAATCCCTTGAGCCCTAGAGGCAGAGGTTGCAGTGAGCCGAGATCGTGCCATTGCACTCCAGCCTAGGCAACAGAGCGAGACTCTGTCTCAAAAAAAAATTAGATGGGTATGGTGGCACATGCCTGTAATCCCAGCTGATTGGGAGGCTAAGGCAGGAGAATCACTTGAACCCAGGAGGTGGAGGTTGTAGTGAGCCGAGATCGCGCAAGTGCAGCCCGGGCGACACAAAAATAAAAAAATACAGTAACAGGTTTAAACATTTTAGAAGTATCCCTAATGTATAGAAAGTCAAGAGACTATACCTCAAGGTTTGCTGGCCTTTGAACACAACTTACTATCAAAAGTCATCCTCTGTAGGCTGGGGGCGGTGGCTCACACCTTTGGGAGGCCGAGGCAGGAGGATCACAAGGTCAGAAGATCGAGACCATCCTGACCAACATGGTGAAACCCCATCTCTACTAAAAATATAAAAATTAACTGGGTGTAGTGGCACGCACCTGTAATCCCAGCTACTCAGGAGCCTGAGGCAAGAGAATTGGTTGAACCCAGGAGGCAGAGGCTGCAGTGAGCCCAGATTGCGCCACTGCACTACAGCCTGGTGATAGCAAGACTCTGTCTCAAAGAACAAAAACAAAAACTATGCTCTGTAAAAGCCAAATCTCAGTATTCCTCAAACCTTGCTGTTTTTTGCTGGTTTTACAAATCTGACTCAATGAATAAATCTTTATTTTACAAAGAAGAGGTGATATTTCTGATAGGCCATTTTGTTACTCCCTCCTCAGACTGACTTGTGAGTTATATTTTTAGATTCTGCTACCATTTTTAGATTCTGCTACCATTTTTCTTGATGTGTTGCTTAACTAGATTATATTTTCAGGCATCCGTGTACAAGATTTGCAGAGAAATGTATGACGATGGAGTGGGTTTACCCTTTCAAAGTCAGCCTGATCTTATTGGAGACAAGTATGTGATGAGTATTTGGATTTGGGAATAGACCTTTTATAGCCAGGCTTATCAGATTGAGGGGAGGTGATGACTGGAAATACATTCATTTATTTTATATCCAACTTTGGCTTTAGTAAAATCTGAATGTGTGTGCATTTCCAGTTCCTTCTTACACTAAATGTAGCTTCCGTAAGTTCATTCAAGTACAGTGGGTCTTACATCACTGAAATCTGAATTTTATATTAGCAACTTAAGTTTACTGTGGCCTCTTTCTTTCTGAGCAGGTTAGTAGGAGGGCTGCTTTCCCTCAGCCTGGATTACTGCTTTGTCCTAGAAGATGAAGATGGCATATGTGGTTACGCCTTGGGCACTGTAGATGTGACCCCCTTTATTAAAAAATGTAAAATTTCCTGGATACCGTTCATGCAGGAGAAGTATACCAAGCCAAATGGTGACAAGGAACTCTCTGAGGCTGAGGTAATACACAGGTTAAGAATTATACTATGGTAATGGTTTTTTTGTTTTGTTTTGTTTTGTTTTATTAAAGTACTTACTAAAATGGAAAAGTACGTAGATCCGATACACGTCATTAAAAATCTTACGGTGTGTTTCTCGTAAGTTACATTCTTCCTTGCAAGAAAAATTCTTACTGTACTTCTTATCATCACTCTCCACCTGATCTCCCCACACTCCATTGGGCCTTTTTCTAATTTGGCATATGTCTGTAATCTGTCTCCGCTCCAGAACTCGCCGCGCGGCAACGGCGCGCCCAGTGGAGGCCCCACCTTCTTTCAGCCTTCTTTGTTTTTCAAGATACTCATGAAGATCTTCTGGCCAGGCCACGGTGACTCGTGCCTGTATCCCAGCACTTCTTGGAGAGGCCAAGGCGCGGTGTATCACCTGAGTCAGGAGTTCTCAAGACCACGCCTGGCCAACGTGGTAAACTCCGTCATCTACTAAGAAATACCAAAAAATATTAGCTGGCATGGTGTGCGCGCGCCTGTAATCCCAGCTACTCGAGGAGGCTGACCGCCAGGAGAACTGCTTGAACCCAGAAGGCGGAGGTTCACGTGCAGCGAGATAGTGCCACTGCACTCCCAGCTTGGCGGCAAGCGAAACTCCGTTTTCAAAAACAACAAAAGAACTCCCTGGCCTCGTTTGGTTGACGTCCTAGGACCAACTCTCTAAGTAATCTAAATCTGTTTCGCGCTTGGTTGTCAGGAAGGTTAATAACTTGCCTCTGCGCAGTAATGTCGCTCGGTACCATTTGGTAGATTTAAAATAAGAGTGAAGCGTCGGTTGAGAGTCTACTTGTGGATAGCGAGCACCTTTCTTAAGTCATGTCCTGTCCGCAACTTAAATACATTTTTCATCTCCAAAAACCATTTGTGTGCGGTTTGGCCAATATATGATTACTTTCTGGTTAACATCAGGGGTGGTGGTGGTTATTGAGGAACAGTGTCTCACCTTGTCACATCCAGAATGCCAATAGCACCAAAACC